TTCCGTTTTTCAATAAAATTCGCTGTTTTATCGAAGGAAATTGTTTTGAGAGTATCGAAGCGCTGTCCGAGTGCTGAGTCACCACCTTTCAAGTGAGTGCATAGTCTCCTTCATCTTACACATAGATATGAAGTATTTTAATATAAATTACGTGCTGTGAGGGCATATTGTCTGAATACTTGCTGTCTATGCTGGGTGAAAGATTTCTATACATGTTTTAAATGATTTAAACTGTATATGTATTTTATATCTACAAAATGTGTTGGGTAAAACATGGGTAGATGAAATAGTTGTTTTGTGATAACAGGATGGGAGACATCAATGTTGTCAGTGATCCAGTCATCTGGTGGAGTATAGATGATGACCATGGGCGATACTAGATGGTCCGGTGGAACGTTAGTAAGCTCGTAACCTATAGGTGTTTTTGAACTAGGTGCTCATTAGGTATTTTGAACTGAGTGTGTTCACTACGTATCTTTGAACTGAGTGTGTTCGCTAGGTATTTTGAACTAAGTGTGTTCACTAGTTACTTTTGAACTAAGTGTTTACCAGATGTTTCAGACTACGTGTTCACTAGATATATTCTATAAGCCTTGGTAATGATGGACTTCGTGTCGATTCCTTACGATGATCCTTATGAATAAATAAACGAGGAATAGCTGATTCTTCGGGTAGATCCTTAAGACTAAAGAAGATAACGGGGATGAGTAATTGGGTTGATTGTTTGATTGTTTAAACATAATAATTATATTATTGTGGGTTAATGTAATGCCTGTGTTTCTGGGCTTGCCATTTTTAGCAATGTAATAGTCTAGGTTAACCTTTGTAACCCGTTTTGAAATAATAGAAGTGTATTATTTGAGTATTATGTGTTTTGTGCTTAATTGCTTAATTATGTGGTTTGATTAATTAAGAATAAAAATAAGCGTCAAAATTTAAGTGTATAATAAACTTGATATCTTTAGATAATGTTGTAGTAGTTGAAACAAGGTTTCCGAAGATATGAAAGAATGTCGAAATCTGAGTTATAACGAAGAAGTTATGACCTGTCAAAGTTTCGCGACATAACCGGCACTGCTGAATAACGTAAAAAGTGAAATTTACGTTAGAGCGATATTTAGCCTTAGTGATCTAAACGAGAATCGAAGATCTTGTTGTTATTATCAAAGCGATAAAAAGTTAGGCGAGAACGAACGTCAAACGAAGAAGTTATGAATTTATAACGAAATTTTCTGTCCCGGCCTATTAAAAATAAATAATAAAAATAACGACAAAATTAGCCGACGGAGTCTAAACGAAAGTTGTAGAGCGTAGTCTCACCTTCGCGAGGATATAAAGAACGTCGAAAATGGAGTTCGTATGAAGAAGATATGAATTTCCGAAATTTATTAAATAATTTGTATTTAAATTTAATTGAAAAATCTGGTATTTACGAGGACGAGTCACCGGACTCATCCGAAGTACGCCCCGTGTACACCGAGGATGTCAACACTCGCATCAAGTGGCTTCGGATGACGAACGCAGTGATGATTTCGGACCTGTACGCCCCGCGTACTCCGAGGCTCCAGCCTCCTATAAATAGGATGCGAGGGCAGCCGACTTCTTTGCTATTTTTCTCCAATCTCTCTCCCGTTTTGCCTCGATTTGCGTGCCAGAAATACCCCGAAGCCCCGGTAATATTCCCGAGTCCCGAAGCAAGTCCCGAGATCCCGAAGATCCCGAGAAGTGCGGTTTCCGAGCCGAAGCTCTGCCCGCGAGAAGTTTGATTTTTTTAGAGATCTTCCAGATCTCTTGAGGATTTCTACTTTTGCAAGGTGTAGTGCTGTCCGATCATCTTCTGATCAAGTGAGTGTATACTACCTTTCATAAACGCAATAATAATACAAGTATGGTTTGAGTGTATTAAGTATATTGTTGTTTATATGTGTGAGTGTGTTGTTACTTTCTCCTAACGTATAATTATGAAGTATTTTTCTACGAGATACGTGTTATGTGTATATTTGGTTGTTATGTGTGTGAATGTATATTCACTTTCTTCTATCTTACACATCTGATTATTTCTATATGAAATACGTGTTATGTGTGTGTGCCTCATCTGTTATATGGAAAATGTATTGATCAAGCATGTTATACAGGTTTTGAAAATATGTATAAAAATGTATGTTTTTATCTACTAATATATTGGGTAGAACATGGGTAGATAGTTGGTGTGTAATAAACAGATGAGAGGCCTCGTTGTTGTTTTGATCCAGTCATCTAGCGGAATTTAGATGATGACCACAGACTTTTCTAGACAGTCTAGTGGAACGCTAGCAGGCTTATAACCTGTAGGTGTAAATGAACTTAGGTGTTCATTCGCTGTATTCCATCCCCCTCATGGTTGCCTTATTTGACTTATATTGCTGAGGAACCCCCGCAGCATGTGTTGTCACCCCGATGAAAATATTCTTAGATTAGGTCCCTTGTGTTAGTTATTTTAGGGACATAAAGTGAGAATAACGAGAATGGGTAACTGGGTTATTGTTGGTTGATAATAATTAATTTAATTATTTATTGTGGGTTGAAAACCCTATATGCTCACCAGGCTCGCAAGCCTGACCCACTCAGTTTTATTTGTATTACAGGAAGTGGCGCAAGGGCGTAAGATGGATGAACCATCAAGTTGTTTTGTTTACAAGTCTGTATATGTATATATTTGTTGAATGACTTGTAACGTTATCGTTTATGCTTATTGGTCTATATCGGAACATGACACCCCGAGTTTTGATTATATAATGAAAAATACATCTCTTTTATGAAATGCTTTGGTAAACATTGTTTTATCATGTTTTTTTTTTGGGAACAAATTCCGCAACTCTTTCAAATCAAAAGGATTTACTCTGAATTTATTTTAAAAGCATAAATGAAAATCGGTCTTTTCTGGCCGTGATTTTGGGGATTTCACAGCTGAAAACCCTATGTACTCACCAGGTTTCCCAACCTGACCCACTCAGTTTATTTACATCACAGGTGTTGATATGAAGTCACATTACACTAAGAGATTAAAGAGATGTAGATCACTAGTGTAAATAAATGTAAGTTCCGTTTATGCTTATGTTTCTGTATTGACGATGACATCCCAAACGTTTTAACATAAATAAAATACGTTTCTTCGAAAATGTTTTAATAACGTATTTATCGTGTTTTTTCTGGGAACAAATTCCGCAACATTTTTATGAAAAGAAGTACTCTGATTTTTATAAAGCATAAACAAAATCGGTCTTTTCTAGCCGTGATTTTGGGGATGTCATAGTTGCATCATGTTTTTTTTTTTTTTTTCAAAAAACACTAACAAACTTTACCACACTTTAATTTTATTACAAACCATTTACCCTTTCTTTTTCACTTTTAGTTAAAAGATCCATTTGTAAATAACTATGTATTTTTTGTGACTTCTAGTTGAAATAAGTACAACTTTTTTACTTATTCATGAAAGCAACTACACACAATTTCCTTAATATGTGCTCTTTGTACTTCTTATGACTAAATTACCCTTCTAGCTCTTTTTCTCTATCTTGGGCGAACCTTTTATCTTTCATTACTGATATGGTTTAATTAATAATGAAATCAACGATAAGACCCCTTGGAAATGTTATGTAGATATATAGTTGTTGACTTTTCTTTTCCATCATGCGAGTTGTCCTTTTCATAGAAAAAGTACTACCTATGTCTTGCTTTCTGTGAATAGTCGTACATAGCCTTTTTCTTGTTCCAAATTAGACCAATATACCCCTTACCACTTTGCAATAGACACAAAAACAATAACACTCTTTATGTTGTCATTTACGTGTACATCTATACAACCATTCAGAAAAAACATGTGGAGAACAAATCAAAACATATCCTATCTTGAGCTTCAAATGACATTAATTGTAGCTTTGAAAAATACAACATCATGTTTCTTAGTCAAAAACACATTCTCCTTTCATATACTTTCATTAATCACTTTGTTATAATACCAATAACTAGAAGACAAGATCTGAACTTGTTGTAACTTGTAGCTTTTCTTTTCCATGAGAATTAGAAAGAGTAGGCTAACTTTTCTTGCTTTTTCTAACTTGACCAAAATACCCACAATGCCCTTTTCTTTGTTCCAGTAGGATTAGATCAGAGTCCCCAAAAATTGCATACTTGTTTTCTAGATGACTTAAATTCTGAAACATCAACTTTATCTATATGAAGAGACAAACATTGAAAATCAAGACATTAAGAAAATAAGAAATTAGGTCTTGATTGTACCACATGTACATTTGCAGCCTTTCTTGCTGTCACCAAGAGTAATGGTACCTACTTCTTTGTACTACCCATGTGCCTACCATGTTAAAGACAAGACAATACATAGGCAATTGACGAAAGTACCATTGAAATCCAACGTCTACTTCCATATTGTTTGATTATAGCCATCCGAAAAAGCTAGTTCTTCTACAAAGAAGCAAGTATGTGACCAAAAGAACTGTCACGTCTTCAATAGAGAACTATAGAACACTTTCCAAAGAAATCTTTTGCAAAAAAATAATCACATAGACACATTTTTTCATTTTTTTATAATTTAACCAAATATGAATTAAAACTATGAAAAACATACAAAAATAATTTACATAACACTTTACTTTAGTAGGAGAGACAACTAATATGGCATTTCAAAAGTTCAGACTCTCACATTCTCCGAGATTAAAAAACAACCTTAGGGATCGGTTTGAGGTTGGGTTAAGAAACATACCTTTCTTCTTTAGAGTGCCAAGAAATGCTAGCTCTAGGATTTTGAACTCCTTTTTTATTCTTGTAAGTATCTTCAACAAACCTTCCAAGACACTTCAGATTCCATTTTGTTTGTCTAACTTCTCCACATTGTTTTGTTTCAGGTTGTGAGGATGATCTCTTAGGAACCTATACTTGCTTCATCTTTCTAGGTTCTAGAGATGTATTCTTTAGAACCTATAAGTCTTTTTTGTTTGAGGCCTCTACTTTCTTTTCTTTGATTGCTTTGCCTTGTAAGAAGCTGGAGCTTGAGTCTTGACATGGTGAGATGAAGTCTTTACAACTTGAGATAGCTTAACACTTTCAAAAGTCTTGCCAACTTGAACAAACTTATCAGTGTGAACTGATTTGTGAACGTGTGAAGTCCTGACAATATGAGACTTCTTGGTAGTGCGAAATTTCTTAGCTTGAAGCTTTTCAGTGTGAGACTTGTCAACATGAACTGAAGTAGTCCTAGTGTGAGATGAAGCTGAGGGAGAGAGTTGTTTGAGAATAGTAACCAGTTTTGATAAAGCTTTTCGAGTATATTCTACAAGTACATATTATGTTTGAACTTAAACAGTCGAAAATCTTTTCTTCTAACTTCCTTTTTTTCTTTAATCTTCTCCTTTAGATCTGAAATCTCTTTCACCTTTTCTATCAGTTTTTTTCAACATATCTATATCTTCATGATTCTGATTGATGATTTTGTCTTTTAGATCAAGTTCAACAATGAAGAACACAGATATAGGTGCATTTGGATCGTACATCAGATGTGGAAAACAAGATAAAGGGCTTGCATCGATTGCTATTTTATTTCTATTATGTTTTTCTTCTTCATCAATAACGTTTGCATCTTTTTTTATCCCTCCACTTATAAATTCTTCTCTCATCTCAGAAACATTATAAGGACCAAACAAACCTGATATAGTTAGATAATAACAAAGATAGGGAAACATACCACACTCTCTCTTCTGAATGTCAGATGTATTCTTTATATTTCATTAAATGATTGTTTTAAACTGCTCTGATACCACTTGTTGGTCCTAAACCCTTTATAGATTCGTAGATCGTATATAAACAATAAAGAACAATGAAGAACACAGAAGTATCACAAAGATATCATTCACCAAGAAAGGGTGTTCTCACCAAGAGAATATGTCACAAAGGCTAATGGCACAAAGCCCTCACAAAGACAAACTTAGGGTTTTAACCTAATACATAAATATATACTAATCAAATCTAGTGAATACCTTCGATCAAAAGATTGTATCTAATCTACACATAAACAAATCTAGTATATAAGGAATGGACCAGATCAGATATTCTCCAGATTCGGATAAAAGCACGAACACATCAAACGCTGATCAAAGCATCAGCTTCAAGGAGTCTTGCTGATCAGGAGTGTTAGCGTGCGGGAGGCCTTTATGTCTAATACAAGGATTGAGCTCAAGCTAGGTCATCCATGAAGAAAAAGGAGATGAATTCTCATGCTTAAACTTAAACATCCTCCAAAACTCATATCCAACACTCTAACTCTTAAAGGCATGGATAAATATGAATAAAACCTTAGATTTAGCAACAAGGAAACATAAAGCTTGTATCTTGGTTAATTATAATGGTCCAGATGTGTATCTAGAGGTTGCAAATGGAATTTCCAAGCTGAAATAATGCTTTAATGGTGATCTCTTCTTCTTCAGACCATGAAAACTCCACTAAAAGCTCAAGAATCACAATGAGAGGATATAGTTAGTGTTCTACTGAGCTTAGGGATGAAGGAGGCTATTTTAGAAACCTAAAATGAAGTTTGTGGGGTTTAAATATGAAGCAAACCTTAAAAGTTCATGGGCTTGTGCTACAACGCATCTCACGTCGTGAGCTCTTATTGTTCACGTTGTGAGCCCAACATAATTCAACATCTTCATTTAATTACTCCTCATGTCGTGACCCTTTTATGGTCATGTTGTGAACCTTGGTTTTACCCAAAAACCATTCGTTAGACACCTTGAAGCCCTAAATCGATCCAATTTGGAAACTGGGTGTTACACCGATGAGGCGCCGATGGGCTAGCAACAGAAATCCACGTACTTTGGTGGCGGAAAAGGCAAAGCAGGGGTGCGTCTGAGTTGAACGACATCATCTAGGACAGTGGACGACTAGGATGTATCAACAACAACTTTAATTTGAGAGATGAAAAGGGAGAGGTGGAGGGTAGTCATAGATGAAGGATATAATCTAGAAGCATTCGTATTAGATGTGGTGGACGGTGGTGTGAGTAAATTAACCATAATTAGGTAACCGATGAACCGTACCTGGTCAGGTACTAGGAAAGTCAGGTACTGTTCCTAAGGAAACTCAAAATTATATATATATATATATATATATATATATATATATATATATATATATATATATATATATATATATATATATATATATATATATATATATATATATATATATAAAAGAAATAAGTGAAGTATGTAAAGTCAGACTAAGTAAATAGGCTTAGAGGAAATTAACGAAGAGGAGGGTCTTCGGGTGAGTTAAGTTGACATAAGCAAATCCTAATAATAGATGTCACTAGATTTATGATTATCGTTTTGACTTTTAGGTGTACGGTGGTTTACAAGATTTGAGATATGTTATGTCAACGATTCAATTGATTCAGTTACCATAAGCACATCTTAAAAATTGATGTCACTAGGCGTTGTTTTTGTTTCTCTTTAGATCCTTTGCGACATTTTTTATAAATAACGTCATTTTCACAAAATATGCATCGAAATAATATTTAGTAAAAAGAATGATTTATGATTTTTTTTATTTAGCAAGATAGTTTGCATTTTGGAATAAAGTTTAAAATATACTAAGTTTTTTTATATATTTCAATCTCAAAAAATTATTTAATATCTTTTTTATTTTAGCTGAAATGTACTTTAGTGACTAGTTGAACCATTAAACCCAATGATGAGTCCATTAAGTGGCATTATAAAATGACGTCTTTTCCCCTGGATGGGCAAGTGTAAATGCAAGCCACGCATAAATATTTAATTTCAATTTATTTTTTTGTTGGTCGGCAAGTCACAAACACAGTTAAGTCTTTTTTTTTTTTTTTTTTCTAACCTAATTTTTATTTCTGGATTTGTTATAATAGGAGTTCTGAGATGTATATTAGTGAAATTAATATCCATTTATTATTATATTTATTCAATTATATTAAAATATTATATAAAATTTAATAAAATAGAAAACTTATAAATAACATATGAAAAAAATTAATTCAAAATAACCATAAAATGAAATTTAAAAAATTAAATGACAATAAGACAACTAACATGTTATATATAAAAAAAAGACTTAGGGACCCATTTTTAACTTTTAATTCCTCAAAATCAATAGGGAGCCTTGATAGTTACATTATCACCTATAAAGAAATTTAAACTTCCAATATTGGCGAAGTAAACACATTATCACACGATTCCAGTTTATTCATCAATGTCATGACAAGGCATTTATCTTTGTAGAGCATGTGAGCGGTGAAAAGCAAAAGTCAGACATTTTGACAAAGACCCTACCAAGGGTAATGTTTTTGGAGATTCGAGAGCTTATGTGTTTTGAAGAACAATAGGCAGACGTTTATGATGTTGGCTTGATTGGGAGAGACTAATGATTTGAAGATGAAAATCCACTGAGAAAAACAAGTTCGCAGATTTCTCCCAAGTGAACATTCAATTTCAAAGTCTCAATATACCTAAATCAATAGAAGAAGTTGAAGTATTAATTAGTCGCGCGTTACATCCGAAAAACACCTAAAATATAATAGCTTTTATTTTTTTTGTAATATGTATCAATAATAATAATTGATGTCATTTTAACAACCCATAACAATTACAAATTATATAATAACCAAAACCAAAAAAGTATATTCTCTACATTTGTCTAGAAACGAAATCCATAGATTAAACGATGTACAATCAATGCGGCCTAAATGGCAAGATTAGACGTTCACACTGGAACTTGAAGTGTAACATGAACCACGACCAACAGCCATAAAACCCAGAAAAACCCTACGCACAAAGAACAAGCCTTTGAATCATAAACGTAGTACGGATATGGATAATTTGTTTGTCCAGAATCACCACCAGTGGAAGGGAAGTACACGAATCGTGGAGGTGGTGGACTGGTTTTCTTGCCACCCACTGCGGTATATGCTGGTGGTGGAGTCGACTTTGTCTGAGGCGGTGCTATAGCTAGCGGTGAATCAAAATAGTAAAATCGTGGCGGTGGCGGAGCATGTTGGACCAGAGAAGGTGACGGTGGCGGTGGCGGAGCATGTTGGACCAGAGAAGGTGACGGTGGCGGCTTGGATGCAACAGCAGGTGGAGTTGGAGAGGGTGGTGGCTTGGTGACAGATGGAGGAGATGAACAAACGACAGGGCAGGTGTTGCACTCACTAACGCATAGCAAACCGGTAAGGTCGTCATCAGCTGCCGCCAGTGAAGCAAATATGACGACGAAACAAAAGCATTTGCTTGAGAAAAAGAGTTGTTCCATATGAACGAATTGTCGTTGTTCTTTGCATATGATGGAAGGATAGTTACTTTAGAAACTTGTGATGCTTTGCTGGTTCGTGACTTTATACACGTTTTAGAGAACAACAGTAGCTCCTTTTACTTGAAGGGTAAGCGACAGTAAAGACACTAATAGTGGACATATATGACTAATACTTGTATAAAAAATATGTAGGATGTATTCAACTAATTCAAGGTTATGATTAGTTTTCTTCTTTCACTCAACGCCCCAAGGATTAACTAATGTCTTTCGTAGTTAATTGCTTGTTTATTCAATCATTTTCGTTTGCATATCTATGGAAAAACATAGCGTTATATCATATATGTGATGACTTTCGCTTTTCTTCTTGTTAATAAGTATAATAAGTTAATACATAGGCAAACGGATTCTAAGTACTTTTGTATGTAAAACCAATTCTTTTGAAATTACATCAATACATCCAATGAATATAACATTGTTATGCATGATTCACTAGATTCTTACCATATTTGGTACAAGAAAACCAAACATTATGTTGTACTCCGTTGAGCTTTTTAAAACAAAATATTTTACTGGTATCAGATTGTTTGAAATTCGGTAACATAATTGGTGTCATATGTTTAAATTAGTAAAGAAATAACTCTTTAAATAAAGTAACAGCTATCTTGTATCTCGTCATGTTACAACTTAGTAAGTAAATAACTTTTTACATAAATAAACAATTATCTTGGATCATGTTACATGTGTAACCGGTTTTCTGTACTAATATCATCTAAGCATTTTATTTATTTTTTTATTTTTTATTCAGGGTTAACTAACACATCCATCAAAACCTAGTAATATAACAAGGATAAGATAACCGAATAAATGTAATTGCCGTCTATGGCCACGAATTCACATCAGATTTCAAGTCGTTTCTTGTCATGATATAAAGCATCTCGGTTATAATTGAATGACAAAGAGTATATCAATAAAAAAAGATAAAGTTTTTATCCTCATTGCTACAAATTTTCTTTTTGTCTTTGTTGAAAAAGAAAAATATAGATTCCAAAATTGGACGAAAATGAGATCTTTAAGTTTGCTTCCTTCTCTTTTTGCAAATTGTGGGTATGAGTAACATTTAATTCTTCTATTTTATGATACCTTTCTCTATGGACAATCCACATTTGTTTAATAAACTAAATGTGAAAAATATAATTATGTACCTATTAAAGATATGTTATAAAATATAATAATATCATTGTTATAAGCTATTATAAAATTGACATCTATTAATTTAACACCATGCTATGTTATCTCTAGGGCGTACTTTGAGTTCTGCATGCAAATAAATATAACTATCAATTTATTGTTATTTTGAACAAAATTAAACAAATGTAAACTCCATGCCTATGTTACATGTTTAAAATTTATCAAGATTGTATTTAGTCAACAATTAATCAATTACACTTAAATACACATTAGTAATACAAATCACCATATACATTATCAAACAAACTATATAAACAATAAAAAAATCTAACATTTAATTAAAACCGTTTACAGAACAACAAACAACATAACAAAAGGAATGAGAACCCAAAAACACAATCCCTAAACAATTGAGTGCCCAAATGACCAACCAAAACAAGATACCTGAAAAAAAGGGTAGCATCATATGTTTATCTCAACACCAATCCATTAAATTTGAATCAGAAAAATGCTTTGCAACTCACCAACAATGTAATGACTATTTTTTAGGTATTCGATTTAACTATTGAGTTGTGCTTTAATTCCAAGTTTAATCCACGGTGGCAATTTCAGAATATCAGAGTCAGCTGGTGTACGTGGCTTGTACACCTTCGTACGTCGAGCGTACTTCAGATCACATTAGTATGTTGCGTGTATGCCGGTACGATGAGTCTACGCAGTCATGGTGTAAATCCTAAATTTCAGGGTTTGGACCTTATTTAAACATATATATGGCCAAATACACATTCTATCTCCATCCCCCTCATCATTTCGAAACCCTAAAGAGTGTTTGTGCATTGTGAAGTTTGTTGAGCCATTTTTGGTGCCATTTGGAGCTTTTGGAGTAGAAGGAAGAGCATTAACATAGTGGTGTTTCACTCAAGGATTTGGATCTAGCGTCTTGTTCCCTTGTGCACCATGTGTAACGACGTAAAAATTTTGACCAAATTTTTACATTTCAAAAACATTCATTCCAATAATAAAACCATGAAATGCCACAATGTTAATTCATCAAATTCATGTCCAAAAGAAAACTATATATAAAACTCCAGGATCTTCTCAATAATAAAACAATCTCCGGTGTGTGTGTGTGTGTATAATCAAGGTTGCGCCTTCCTGTGATCCTGAGAAGTATCTAAAACACATAACACATAACACGGTAAGCACAAAGCTTAGTGAGTTCCCCAAAATATCATACATAGATCATTAGCTACTCTAAGCCATAACTTGATTAGACCCTCCGGTCAATGTGTCTCAATGGGACCTTCCGGTCCCAGCTCGATAAGCTCAACATAATAATACTCGACATAAATCACAAAGAAATAAGTCATGATATCATAATGCACATGATATATCTCAGTTACACAAACTACCACTCATGGTAAAGTATAGTGAGAAGACTCACCTCGTAAGTAAACTAAGTGAATGAATACTTCTCGCATACGAATCACAAAATCTAGCCTCCGCCTAATCATATAAGATACTTATATCTAATTAACTCTTTAAATTAAACATTCACTAATGTATCTCTCTCTCTCTCTTGAATTGGGAAAAGACCATTTTACCCCTGCATGGTTTCGTGAAAACACGGTTGACTAAAACCTAAGTCAACAGAAGTCGAACTCAAGTCAATAGTCCATGCTGACCCTACTCGTCGAGTGCACCTATGAGACTCGACAAGTCTGTTCACCATCCTCAGTATCACTCAAAGGTCCAGCTCAACTCGCCGAGTTGACCCGTCAACTCGTCGAGTTGCTACACAACCAGAACCATCGAGACAAGCCTATCTGACTTGTCGAGTCAGCTCATTGACTCGGTGAGTCCATTCACACTCCTACCTCATTCAGTCGATTCCCAGGTAGAGAACCTTCCCAAACAATAGATCTACACTCCTAAGGCTCATCTTTCACGTAAAGTCACCAGATTTACGATCATGCATGGCATTTAGAGCTTAAAATGCCAAAACATACATCAAAAAGGGTTTTCCACTCAAGATCACTATTATGGTTCGATAAAGCAGGGACTTTTGTACTCTAGGGACCTTACATCGTCTAGATCTGAAGTCCAACCCTCTCAATGAACATAAAACACTCAAGGCCCTTATATTTGGGTGGAGAAACCCTAGATTCCCAAAATCATAAGATCTATTCAAAATAATCAGAAAGGTGCAAGCTTTATACCTTTCACATAAGCTCTGAAGTGAAACAACCTCGGATCTAGTAGCACCTTCTTGTCCCTTGGCATGGAATTCTTCCATTCTCTTCACAAGATGCATCAAACACTCAAAATTAGCTAAACTCTCTCTCTCTCTCTCTCTCCCTCTCTAAGCTTAATGTTCGTTTAGGGTTTGCTCTCGGGGAAGTGTAGCCACAAATGAAGCTATAAGTGCCTTTAAATAGGCCCTAACTTGGGGATTTCGGGTTTCTCATCCCAATGCCTACTTGGCGAGTCGGATCTCAGACTCGTCGAGTAGGTCATTAACCCCACGTGGCACATCACGACTATTCTCGACGAGATGGAGCACCGAATCGTCGAGTAGCTCAAAGATAAATAAATAAATAAATAACAAATAATATACCTGAAATTCTGGATGTTACACCGTGTGGAGGTAAAAAAATTTCAACCTTAGTGAAGAAATCTTATGGATCTAGTTTTAGCTCAAAGTTGTTCTCTTTTTGGTCCTAAACTTGGTCTTTGTGAGTAGAAGGTACTCCAAGACATTTACGTTGTCCTTTCATAGGGTTTGAGGGGTGTTAAGTCATAAAGTTGGGTTTTTGGTCACTACTTTCTCTCCATGCAAGTACTAGATTGTCTTAATGGGTTAAGAGACTAGGGTTTATGGATTGAAGGACTTAATAGCCATGTTATACCTTAAAGTTGGAAACTTTATGGTTAAGAACATCTTTTGTTGCCAATATTTGAAGTTTGGATGTAAGTTCACAAAGGATTAAGCACTTAATAAGAGGGGCGGTGAGAAGCCACGTACGCTGGGCATACCGAAGGGTACAATGTGCGTACAAGGTTAACTCCATGTTCCTTGGTCAAATACGAAGTACGCCTTGCATATGTGAGGAGTACACCCAGAGTACTGACTGAGTTAACCCAGTTGACTTAGTTCACTTTGACCCAAAATTTGACTTGGGTTTGACCTAGGGGTATTTTGGCTATTTGAATGGTAGTCTAAGTTTTGGTTACTATTATTTGTAATGGTGACCAGTAGCATAGGTCTCAGAGCAGCGCATCATTTTATCTTTCCATTTGTCTATGAGGTGAGACTTTTTTACCACCTTAAGTGGGCCGAAGGCACCATGGCCAACGCACTGTATTGTATGAGTAATAATCATACGCTATTATATGATTATGTATGATGTGATTGTATGGTTTATTTATTGATATATTTTGGGCTCGGAGTCATTACACACTCGGGGTTGATACGGACCCAACATAGCTACTTGCTATTTTAGGTTAATAGTGACACGGGGTGGATATAGGCCTTGACACAGCCACACACTATTATACTATATATATATATATATATGTTGTATGCAGTAGTTTAGGAAGCTTACTAAGCTTTATGCTTACAATTTATGTTTATGGTTTCAGCTACTTCCAATTCAAAAGGGAAGGGCCCATCATGATGGAACAACATCCTCCCCATTTGATTTCTGCACTTGATGTATTTATACTTTCTTGTTTTGGAATACTGTAATGAATGATCGCTTTTGGTACAATCAATGAATGAAAATTAATGGGTTTTAAATGAAAAAAAATTA